TATTTAAAAGTTAGACGGATTCGAATAGCAAAGAAAGGACAAAGACAAAAATTTTTTATTTTTAATTTATTGATCAGTCAGCCAAATTTCAATAAATTAAAAATAAAAAAATTTTTGTCTTTGTCCTTTCTTTGCTATTCGAGTCCGTCTAATCATGAAAGTATTGTGTGCATATAAGTCTTGTAAATATTAAGAACAGCCGATTTTTGTTTTTGTATTTATTTACTTGTAAAATATACATAATATACATAATTTTAACAATGTCAAGAAAAAGTAAAAAAAGAATATATTGAATACTGTACTGGATTGAATTAAATAATTTTAAGAGCATTCATGTCAAAAGAATACACCTAATAAAACAACTGGAATTAAATATGTTAAGAACTAAGAAGTCATTATAAAAGTTAGTATTACTTGGTGCTCAATTTATTATAAATAAATGTTTTGTTTAATCATAAAAGGAGATAAAAAAATTATAAAGCAAAACGAATTATATTTCTTTGAAGCTTCATATAAAATTTATATATACGATTGTAAAAAATTTTATATATAAATTTATGCAAGTCATTTTTACAATATAAAATTAGGATTTTGTGTTCTAAAATATACACTTCGATTCTTCGATTTATATATACATAAGTCTCACTCGAAATTCATTTTAAACTAGATCAGTGGTTACTTACAAATACTCTACGTGATGTCTCTTTAAATTTCAAGTGATAAGAAATACCTTTAGACAAACATAAACTAATTTGGATGGAACCATCGATAGCATCCCGGTTTATCGTCCATATTATCGTCTATGGTGCCATCTGATTCATTTGCGTTTGCATATTCATCAATAACATGATGAAGAATATGTTTTGCACCATCTGCCTCCAAAGCGATGACTCCAGAACGCTTTATTAAATCCAGTGTAACCTCAAATAATTTTTTCTCTGCAAGGTCTTCATTCATGCCAATTTGCGGAGCATACGGACTATGAAAATCCCATTCATATACTGAATCAGTAATATATTCATTATCTAAAAGCATAAATGAGTAGATTATTATGTCAACTTACTTTCTGAGTCACTTTGACTTGTACAGCTTTGGGATGAAGCATCAACGTTCGGGTTATTGAAATAGTTAACACTTGAAGCACTTCTTTTAAATTTAGCCAAATTATTAATTAATTGATGAGCTTTTAATGCAATGAGAATTTCATCTAAAGCAGTAGGTGGCTTTCTCTCACATGATGTTAAATGAGATTCGTAGGAAGGATGAGCTGCATTTGCCTCAAAAGAATTTATTTTTTGTGTTTCTGCATAACCAGACGGAATCAGCGTGTTACCTGTGAAGAATAATATTGTGATATCTGTGGTATATGATTTTAATGATAAATTGAATTCCACTTACATTTTGGTGCTACTTTTCCTTCATTTAATAAATGCTCGACATCTGATGACGCATACCTCTCGGGTTCTCACTGGGCGGCCAAAATAAAAACACTTTCCGCTTCAACTAACGAAGCTATCTTAAATGATGTTAATATCTGAAATGAAATTAAGTCAACTTACAAAGTGGAGCCACTTTCTGGGAACATACTTTGAAGCATCTGAGGCCGTACAGCGCTCACGACTTTTTCCGGGAGCCATAACGATAATATTTTTCTGAAAATAAATGATTATTATTACAAGTGTTACTATTATATTTTATAAGCTTCTTTATTAGATTCACGTCTAAATTTAAAATAATTTTAAATAACATACACTGATCCTGTGCAACTATATTGTTGAATAAAATAAGGTTGTGAAATGTTTAATTCAAACGATTTTTTACAATAAAAAAGTACTTAAAACTAATTTTTTTTATAACTTTAATCGAATTGTTATTGAATTCACAGACCACTTATGTGAAAGACCTAAAGGTGACCAATTATGTCTCGCAATCCAGATCAGTGGAGAGATTTATTGAAAAAGATCAAAGGTAAGCAACTGATGACTAAATATATGTATACCTATATAAAAAGATTTTCTACTACAAATATGAGTACTAGAATAGAATAGACGTTGACGTTTACCAAGTTATATGCCAAGTTAAACACAGTGTTTTGTGTACTCCATTAGAGAACTTCACTTTTCCTCAAAGATAAATTTAGATTTATTTAATTGGATTGAATTTTAGAAATTAAGAAATTTGTGTACTAGGATTTTTTTTCAGGAACGTGCAATGGTTTTGAATAGGTTAGCTAGGATTTTTATTCGACTTTGGTGAAGCTTGTGAAACTGTCCATCTATTTATATTTTGTACAAGTTTTGTTGCTTTATTTAGTGTAAGTCAGTTTATTATAAATAAACTGATTGTAAATTGCAGGACTTTATTTAGTGAAGAAAATATCCGGACTTCCGGAATAATTTAGTGAAACACACAAGATTGTCGAATAATCATGGATAACGAGTATCAATTCGAAATATTAGTTTGCCTCTGCATAGAAATAGTGACGATATATCTGTTAAAATAACGATTTCAGATATAACATAAATGTTATCAGCTTCTTTATGATTTGTTACTTAATTTGAAATAAATCACTCTACAAACTAATAGTAAAATGTTTATTAATAAAATTGAATATATTATTATTGCAGTTAATACTCTATAGATGGTACTTTTTTTAACATTTCATGTACTTGAACTTTTATTATATTATAGATTACAATGTATTTAAAAAAAGGTCCCTAACGCTCCAAATCGGTTTTTTATATCTACTTAAAAGGGCTGTTGATATCTTATATTAATAATTCATATTCATCTTTAAGTAAACTGTATAGTACATTTATATAGTATTTATGATTGCTTCCATAAAAATAATGGTATTTACAAAGCATTTTCTTGCTTTATACATAGGTTTCAGAATATACTTTTGAAATATTTTTTAGTTGAATATATTTAATATAATGAATTGAACAGATAAGATCTCTTATTAATGTATTCATTTTTATTATTTACTTGTTAATGGTTGATGTTATTAACTCATTTCGATCCGACTGGTAATTTCACTTTAATCGAGTATATATCTTTGCATATAATAGTTATCTTTTATATTATTTTTTTGTAAAAATGTATAGTTTATTTTAAGAAGAAAAATGAATGGAAATTCTATTCCAATTAATTGGATCGAAATGGGAGACATTTTTCTTGAACTCTAAAATTAGATAAATTTACAATTAAGTAAAAAAAAAATTGTTGAAAAAATAATTGTTAATTACAATAATCAATAAGCCCTATTTTATATATCCATACCTTTCATTCGAATACATTGACCCAAAATGCTTAAAATTTATGAGTAAAGTTCACTGGTAATTTCATTTATTAATCGACCGATATGTATAGCGATTTTTCATGTAAACAAGCATACTAAAACTAATAAGTTTTGCTACCGAACTGATGTGTGCCAGACTCTTAGTTCAAAAATTGTTCGTAGTATATGGAGTTGTTCTGAAAAATGCCAAGAGAAAATTGTATAACACTTGAAGAGGTGATGTCTATTTTAGAAACAGAAAAAAATTATGATGAAGGAGCTAGGAGAATACAATTGTACTCTGAAGTCAATGGTGTTTATATGCCGCATAATGTCGGCGAAGTTAGTGATGCCAAATATTGGCCTATTGATAAGTAAACTTACCATTCTATATCTCAGGAACGGCTAGTTACTGGCCTATTAATAAGTAAACTTACCATTCTGTATCTCAGGAATGGCTGGTTCCATTTTGATGAAATTCGAAATTTATCTTAATGTGTGCAAAAAACGACACTATTAAAATTTCCATCAAAATCGAACCACGGCATCAGGAACCGGGCCGTAATGGGTTAATTGCTGAGAAGTAATGCCTTTGCCTTTTTTAACCGAACAAACCAAACCTGTACTAAACTTTCGGAGTTCAATTTTCAAGTGTTTTGAAACATTTTGTAACTAATATGTTGGCTTGGTTAGTTTTTCTTTAAATTTAACAAACGAAAAAATATTCATTCATAATATACTATCGATTTTTTCTGTTCTTTCCTCTCTCTTGATTTTATCAAATGTCAACTATTTCAACATTTCTTATAATCTAACGAATGTTATACTATTAATCACAAAAAATTATGGATGAAAATCAACACCTTCAAAATTTCTCTATTAAATTTATTTATTTCTCATTTATAGAGATCACTTACCTATATTATCCGAGAATTAATACATAATAAAGACGGACAAATAAATAAAGAATTTTTAGTAATTAATGACATCCATAATATCATTAATAATTGAAGTAATGTTACTGTTTGGTAGTGTTAATAAAAAATTATGTTGTCTAATATTATGTATTTTTCATTATTTGTATTGTCTATATTAAAACTATACGATATACCCAATATACAATATCAGTACAATTATACCATATCCATTTAAAAACTTCAGTTTGATTTTAGTATTGTGTATGGCTGTATGGCTGTATGGGTGTATGGCTGCATGGCTGCATATCTTATCTTATGTTACTCTCAAGTGATTCATTGCATATTCATTTACAGGATAAGCCGCTACATATGTTTTATTAGAGTTTATATGAAAGGAGTGTTTTTAAACAACATAATAGATTAATAACAGAAATAACTACAGGATATAATGTCGTGTGTTCCATTGTTATCGACCAAGGTACATGAAATCGTTTTCCATTCATTTGATCATTTGATAGACATTTGGCGGTTACGGATCATAGTGGAAATGCGTAATCTATACACCTCTTATCTCTTACCACCTATCTGTAATATTCTTTTGGAATTATTTTCAATTTTGAAAAATTATTGCAAAATATTGGAGATGAATCATGTTATACAAATATACAAATACAAATATACTTCTAATCATATTTTCTATTCTATAGAAATTTATTTCATACAAATTTTGGAACAATTACAATATTTGAAAAAAAAAATAATAAAATTAAACACTCAAACTGCATTCAAGCATTCAAAATGTTTTATTTTAAATCTGCACTTGTATCGCCTGCTTCATTCTCTTCTTTCGAACCACTTGATTTGATTGGAACCACTTCTGGAACACTTGATTTTAAATCTGCACTTGTAGCGCCTGCTTCATTCTCTTCTTTCGGACGACGTGAATTGATTGGAACCTCTTTTGGAACGCTTGATTTTAAATCTGCACTTGTATCGCCTGCTTCATTCTCTTCTTTCGAACCACTTGATTTGATTGGAACCACTTCTGGAACACTTGATTTTAAATCTGCACTTGTATCGCCTGCTTCATTCTCTTCTTTCGGACGACGTGAATTGATTGGAATCCCTTTTGGAACGCTTGATTTTAAATCTGCACTTTTATCGTCTGCTTCATTGTCTTCTTTCGGACGACGTAAATTGATTGGAATCTCTTTTGGAACGCTTGATTTTAAATCTGCACTTTTATCGTCTGCTTCATTGTCTTCTTTCGGACGACGTGAATTGATTGGAACCTCTTTTGGGACGCTTGATTTTAAATCTGCACTTGTATCGTCTGCTTCATTTTCTTCTGTCGGACGACGTAAATTGATTGGAATCTCTTTTGGAACGCTTGATTTTAAATCTGCACTTGTATCGCCTGCTTCATTCTCTTCTTTCGAACCACTTGATTTGATTGAAACCACTTCTGGAACACTTGATTTTAAATCTGCACTTGTATCGTCTGCTTCATTCTCTTCTTTCGGATGACGTGAATTGATTGGAACCTCTTTTGGAACGCTTGATTTAAATCTGCACTTTTATCGTCTGGCTTCATTGTTGTTTTTTCGGACGACGTGAATGATTAAACCACTTCTGGAACGCTTGATTTTAAATCTGCACTTTTATCGTCTGCTTCATTGTCTTCTTTCGGACGACGTGAATTGATTGAAACCACTTCTGGAACACTTGATTTTAAATCTGCACTTGTATCGTCTGCTTCATTCTCTTCTTTCGGATGACGTGAATTGATTGGAACCTCTTTTGGAACGCTTGATTTTAAATCTGCACTTTTATCGTCTGCTTCATTGTCTTCTTTCGGACGACGTGAATTGATTGGAATCTCTTTTGGAACGCTTGATTTTAAATCTGCACTTTTATTGTCTGCTTCATTGTCTTCTTTCGGACGACGTAAATTGATTGGAACCTCTTTTGGAACGCTTGATTTTAAATCTGCACTTGTATCGCCTGCTTCATTCTCTTCTTTCGGACGACGTGAATTGATTGGAACCTCTTTTGGAACGCTTGATTTTAAATCTGCACTTGTATCGTCTGCTTCATTGTCTTCTTTCGAACCACTTGATTTGATTGGAACCACTTCTGGAACACTTGATTTTAAATCTGCACTTGTATCGTCTGCTTCATTGTCTTCTTTCGGACGACGTGAATTGATTGGAACCTCTTTTGGAACGCTTGATTTTAAATCTGCACTTGTATCGCCTGCTTCATTCTCTTCTTTCGAACCACTTGATTTGATTGAAACCACTTCTGGAACACTTGATTTTAAATCTGCACTTGTATCGTCTGCTTCATTCTCTTCTTTCGGACGACGTAAATTGATTGGAATCTCTTTTGGAACACTTGATTTTAAATCTGCACTTGTATCGCCTGCTTCATTGTCTTCTTTCGGACGACGTGAATTGATTGGAAACTCTTTTGGGACGCTTGATTTTAAATCTGCACTTGTATCGTCTGCTTCATTTTCTTCTGTCGGACGACATGAATTAATTGGAACCATTTCATTAAGTAGCTTGCTTTGAAGACTTGATAATTTATTTTTCAGTTCCCGTACACCCATAAGCACAATATTTTCTGGTTTTAAAGCACCTGTGGTCTCCACATTAAAATAAATTTTGTTCGGTTCGGTGTCGAATTTGTATGCTGCCTCGAACTGTTCATCAGTCAGTTCGGTATGTTCACTTTTTGGCCACTCCTTTGGTTGAGGGTAAGTAGTATGACGGAATTCATTATCGGGATCATATTCGAAGCATACGCCGCCTGTTGGATTCCACTTAGCATGTTCTCTTCCAATACCTTTCTTAGCCATGGCGCATAACTTAAGCTCTTGACCTTTTCGTAATTTCACAATTAAAATACTGTCTTCATATATATCATTTTTATTATCTTTTTCGTCTACTTCGTTCTCTTCTTTCGGACGACGTGAATTGATTGGAACCACTTTTGGAATGTTTGATTTTAAATCTGCACTTGTATCATCTGCTTCATTCTCATCTTTCGGACGACGTGAGTTGATTGGAACTACTTTTGGAACTCTTGATTTTAAGTCTGCACTTGTAACATAACGAGTTTTTTCGGCATCGCACTTTACATCGAGTGTAAATTCCACACTACAACTATCACAAAAATCTGAACAAACGCAATTCCGCCAATACTTTAGTTGCTTTACCATATCATCAGAGATTAATGGTATTAACCCAAGACGGTGGGCAATGAATTCATCTGAAAGAACTGACGAATTTTTCTCTATTTGAACCCAATCGATAGCAAGCGTTGGGGTTTCAGCAATGAATACACGGCGTAAGCTATTAGCGACGCTCAAATCAGTGCCTTCCACAACGAATTTGACATTTTCCTTTGTCAATTCCTTGATTTCGACTGTAGGTTGATTTCCGTACGGCATTGCAATATTTTTATTAATTTTCAATGTTAAAATAAAGAAAATCCTCGTGGCGCAAACTACTAATGCAACTAATGCTTTTTACTGTCAGAATGAAAATTATTTAGAGTTGCCAGTTCACGCAAATAAAATAAATTGCATAGAATAATAAAAACAATAAGACCTTATTCAGACGTTGGAATACAATGAAACATATACACGAATTAGTGTTTGTAATTAAGTAATTTAAGAATTATAACAAATTAAAACAAGTTATAAATAAATTATCAAATAAATCAAATGAAATGAAGATTAACAATAATTCATCATTAATTTTAAAGACGATAATTGCATATACCACAGATCTGCCATCCATACTTAATAAGTTTTTTAGTACGGAATATGAAACCGTTTGAGTTTATTTTATATAAGTACTGTTAAAAAATTGAAAAATGACAAAAAAATTTAACAAAATTAGTGAACAGTTTACTTCTCACATTATTTCACATGATTTAAGGCGAAACATGTGGAATGCAACCACTAACAATAAATTTCCCACATGGGAAACTACAAGGAAAAATTTAGAATATCTTTTTATGTTTTATAAGTGAAATGTAAACAAATAAAAGTTAACGGGAATCAATTTTACTAAGAGTACATTCACACTGTATCATTTAGGCACATGCTCATTTATATAAATGAGTGAACGTTTACTTTATATTGAGCTCATTTATGTAGCTGATAGATATTTATATGAAATAAAATAACTTCACTTAACAATACATCACACAAAATGAATTAAATATGTAACTGATATATGAAATCATTTACATACTACATTATATGTATCAATTATATGTGCAATTAATAAAAACAAAGATTTTATTAAATACTTACGTTTTCAAAATCTTTCTTTACAGCTTTATAGCATTGACAGACGAGCGCACTAAATTATCATTAAGCAGCCTTAAATGATCATTTAAAAAATACCCTGACAGACGGTATAAATGATCATTAAGAAGTTACTGTAAGCAAAATCTCATGCTCTTCCGTCCATGTGTGGGGCTTAAATTTATTAATTTAAGTCATCTAAAATCAAAAGATATATAAAATATATAAAAAAATATATATAAAATATTTAAAAAAATATAAAATATATAAAACTATAACGAGTACTTACATTTACCAATGTTTCGAAATATGTTTTGTTTACAAATAGCTTGAAATTTGTTCCATTTTTTATTTCGTTTCACTCTCATATGCAGCATTACCATTTCTAAAAACCTAAATGACGAATAAATTGGGTTAAATTCGATCATTTAATGACCATAAATGATCATTTAAAACTGCTAAATGAGCAAATAAATTATAATTTAGCCCCTTAATGATAATTTAGCTTCCGTCTGTCAATGCTATTAAAGCTTCACAGCTCAGCTGTTGTTTGTTTACATTTTACATATAAAATTTATGACACATATTTCAAACTTTGGTGATTTTCCTTGTGGGAGATTTATTTCCAAGGGTTTCATTCGACATTTTTTGTCTTAATTAAACTGTTTCATTGATAATGAGCTCATTTCTTATAAATGGCATTTATGTTAAAAGCTCTTTGTATGATAAGTCATTCCTATTAGTGGCTATAATGAACAAAATCGCCTAAATGAGACGTGTGAATGTGCTATTAGAAAGTTAGTACTCAATAAAGCGTTTGTTTTTATTATATGAGTAGGTAATAGAAATACACAATACATATATACATAAATGATTTCATATATCGGTTATATATTTAAGTTCAAGTTTGATCAGTTTGTTAATTTCAGCTGAATAACGACGAAAAACTTTAAAGAAATTCTGAAAAGATTAAAACTGATAGTTTGTGTCTTCTTTGTTCAGAATAAAAATATGAATAAGAATAAATAAAAATCATTTCAATATTGAAACTCAACTATTGGTCATCTTATTAAAAGTTCAGCAAATAAATCATGTTCTGGAGTTTAGTTATGAATAAAAACCTAGCTATTGATAGCAACTAAATAGTAACTAATTTGGCAATAGCAATATAAAAAGCTAGTGGCAAGCAACGATGCTGGGAGGTCCAAACCGGTATTGGAACACGAAATATTTCTCAGTTTATTGATTTGGTGGGAATAGCAGCGAATAGCAAAGAAAGGAAGAAGGGACAAACACAAAAATTTATTTAATTTTATTCCAATATTTTCATATTTGATTGAATTGTCTTGTTCGAAGAATAATGCGATTTTTCTGATTTTTTTGCAATTGAAAGTTTGTTTTATTATCTTTAAAGCAAAATAAAATTTAATTTTTTTATTTCAATTAAATTAATTTTTTAATAATTAATAAATAAGTGAATCTTTTAATATTTAATTTAATTTAATAAATAAGTAATTTAATGCCTATTTATTTTACCGTACATTATTCTGTAATATAATTGCTTAACATTATTAATAAAAATGAAATGCTTATTTAATTATGTTTTTGAATTCTGTACAAAATTAATCACTTATCCATAAATTTATTTTTAATTAATTGAATTTCTGACTGACTATGCAGTAGTTGTCTTTGAAAATATTCGTTGATGGTTTTAGTACATATATAATTGCTGATCCTTCCTTTAACCCATATTCGCCCATTTTGGTAACTTCACTTACTAGCACTTTAATCGAGTATATGTATCCGTATATAAAAGTTATCTATCACATTATTTTTTTTATGAATATATGGTTTATTTTGAAAAAAATAAATTGAAGAAAACTCTATTCGAAATAATTGGATCCAAATTGGATGGGAAATGGGAGACTCCAAAATCAGATAAATTCACAATTACGTAAAAGAAATTATTAAAACAAAATATTTGAAAAAAAAATTCAATAATCAATAAGACTTTTTTTTAAATATCCGTACCTTTCATTCGAATACATTGACCCGAAATGATTAAAATTTATGAGTATAGTTCTCTGGTAATTTCACTTACCAATGGGCCGATACGTAGCAAATGGAAGCTAAATTAATTTTCGAGGAAAATATTACTGTATAATGCAAAATGACAAATTTGTTTTGACCGTATAATTTTAAATTAAATAAATGTAATTTTATACACGAGTATTATTATTATGTACTTATATTTTAAATAACTTCTACAATAGTTGAAGCAATTGATAGTTTCAGTGTATTTTAAGTAACGGTACAATATTGATGTAATATATATTGATTATATGATTTATTGTACGGCGGCATAAGTCCGCATATAAGCATATTAGAGCTAATAATTTTTGTTACTTCAAAATTTGTTCGTAATACATTGAGCTGTGAAAAATGCCAAAAAAACAATTCCTTAACACTTGAAGAGGTGATGTCTATTCTAGAAACATAAGATAGTAATCATGACGAAGCTAAGAGAGTACAATTATCCTCTGAAGTCAGTGCTGTTTATATTCCATTAGACGATCAAGTGCAAACAGAATGTGTTGCCTTTACTGTAACGCCTCACGAAATGCGCCGTCTTATTGGTTTCTTATTTTTCAGTGAATTTCATAAAATTCTTGAATGGAGAAAATATTGGTCAACAGACCCATGCAGTATATTTGATAAGAAATATGATGGTGAATGCTTGGAAAGTGCATGTTATGGTTCCAGCTCATGAAAAGCAGAAGCCATTTTCGTAATTACAATTTCGAACAAACATTGTCAATGATTTATTGACATCCGAACCAACATATCCAAATTCGGTGATAGTTGAACCTATATGATTCAACTTCCTCAAATTTGGGTTTATTGTTAAAAAATTGTGTAATTCCAAACTTGGCTGTTCTCATTTGTAGGGCGAGTGTTAGGAAGCTTCGTTGCTTGTAACAGATAATCCTTTAGTTTTTTGACATCCTATTCAAGCCCAAAAAAATCAAAATTTAATATATTAAAATGAAATAAAAAATTTGAATTTAGATTAAAAATCAATGGATAAAATACACATTTCACTCTTAGGACTAACTTTACAATATAACTGATATATACATATACATTCAGTAGCATATACGAGTATATAACGATTTCAGATGTAACATAAATGTTATCAGCTTCTTTATGATTTGTTACTCAATTTGAAATAAGACACTCTGCGAACTAATATAAAAGGGATTATTATTTAAATGGAATATATTATTATTGGAGTTATTACTCTATAGACAGTACTTTTTTAACATTTCATGTATTTGAACTTTTATTATATTACAGATTACAATGTATTTAAATAAATGTCCATTATGATCCAAACCGGTAATTCATATCTACTTAAAAGGGCTGTTGATATCTTATATTAATAATTCACATTCATCTTTATGTAAACTGTATAGTAGATTTATATAGTATTTATGATTGCTTCCATAAAAATAATGGTATTTACAAAGCATTTTCTTGCTTTATACATAGGTTTCAGAATATACTTTTGAAATATTTTTTAGGTGAATATATTTAATATAATGAATTGAACAGATAAGATCTCTTATTAATGTATTCATTTTTATCCTATACACATTTCACACTTAGGACTAACTTTACAATATAACTGATATATATATATATATATATTCAATAGCGTATATAACATATGAATTGGAAATATTTATATTTACTTTAAGCATGGCTTCAAATATATTTTTTTAATATTTATTGTATAAATTTTAGATTTGAAGTTTTAATACATATTAAATTTTATGATGTGTAGAATGAGTAGATGTGAGTGAAATAAATTTTTTTCCATATTTTGCTATTGGGCGCAAGCTATACAAATACATCAAAATATGTTGTGTAAAGAATAAAGTAAAAGTGTTGACAATCTTGTGTCTTTCAATTAATAATTACGGATATAACTTCACCGACAATAATCATACAACTTATTTTAAGCAAAGAAAAGCCAAGGCTAGTAGGGCAAGCGAATACAAAAAGAATTTTATGAAACCCGCACCAAAAACTAATAAAACTGTGTTATGTTATGCACAGTTTACGTCCAAAGACGCTAGTTCTCTGTTTCATCACTAATCAGTAGTCTTTTAACCAAAGTGATGAAGCACAAACAGCCT